TCTTTGAATTTTCACAAAATATTTCGATTTAATGAATTTTATTTTTTTGTTGCATTATTTATGATCGCCACTGTATATTTTTTTCTTAATACAAATTAAATATTTTAATTATGAAGGCACACGATACAATTTTTTATTTATTAATCTCAAAACTGGTCATGTTTTAATAATAGATTTCAATTTCACATAAAACATACACAAAGAGAATAGCTATTTTTATTTATTTCGTGGATTTCTTTGCGATATAATTTTCATAATTTCATTTTATGATTAATGTACACTTAATTTGTATATTTTGACGTGCCATCATACAAAAATTATTGAACCAAAAAAAAGTAGGTACAGATTTTATTTATTCAAATAAATAATTATTAAATATATAATTAGTTTAAAATTCTTTTTTCCTTCAATGATGTCAAATACTAAATTACTGCTGTAATTAAGCCTTTTTTTTTACTAGTAATTCTTCTAGTTCACCTGACTGATGCATATTCAACACAATATCATATACAAATTCACCTTTCACATAAACCTGAAGTATGCCATATAATTAATTCATAAATGAATAAAATTAGTTCCAAAAAAAAACTTCCTATTCCTATTCAATGATTATTAAGAAAACAATTACATACGAATATTCTTTGATTCCATTTCTAGGTTCCACATCTGAAAAAACAAAAAAAAAATTTCAGTATTACATACATATTAATATTAATGCATTCGTATGCATTATGAATCGTTCACACGATTATATTAGGTTCAATGTTCGTGTAACATGCGTAAAAAATGATGCGAAACCTTTCATTTTTATAAATGTCTTCAATCAAACTGGGAAAGATGTGTAAATCATGATAAGATATTTGTTAATCATCATTGTTTTCGTTACACATACATCTCCGTTTATCCATCTGCTTCTTTTCAAATTCATTTATAAATTATTTTCTAACGAATCCCCGTAAGAGATCACATATAGTCATAGTAATAGCCTTATTTGCATTATTAGGATAATTTCTATTTCTATCACTTCAAATTTGAAATGTCATTTTACTATGAGACAAAGAAGAAACAACTAGCCAGCCTCTTTTTCTATGAACTGCTCTTTTAAAAAAATTTTTACCTTATAGTTACGCAAATTTTAGTTTACAACGGAGATTATGATATTTAAAAAACACCGAATACATGTAAACTTCTTTATAGATTAAGAGACATCCGAATTAATTAAAACAACGAAACTAATTAAATTTTGCTATCATTCTTTTTCTTTGTCATTCAACAATTTCTTTTTTAAATGGAATTCAATGAAGTTAATCTTTATTGCGTTCAATAATTCGTTAAATTTAATCAATGTTTTCAAGCTTTTTTATTGTCCAATATAAGAAATCTATTGTAAGCTCTCGACTCGCCATTGGGGACAGTAGGTTAAAATCAGGAAACCAAATCATTCTAAAATTTGTTTAAAGTAATATTAAAAAAATTTCGTAATTTAATTATTGAGTCACTCACTGAATTATTTGATTTTTTGTGCTACAACCCCTGTCTGAATTAGTCTAAGTGGAAATAAATATTTATAAAATATTTGGTTATAAATACGAGAAAAAAAATCAGTGCAAAAAAATCCAAACATTTAATTGATTAATAAAAAATAAATTATGAATAATAATCATCATATTGACAACCAAATTAACCAAATTAACGATTATGCTTATCCTTCTGATACTATTACCCCTAATGAAAGTTCAGTTAATCCTATGAACATTTCCCACCATAATTATCCTATCAACAATAATAACATTGCCGGTTATAATTCAATCAATAATATAAACAACACACGTCAAAATCCCACTAATCATGACTTGGCTAGTCATTTGGGTGCTATCAATAATAGTTTTGTTGGTCACAATACTCTTCATAACACTGTTGACAATTCAATCAATAATATGAACAATGCTCGTCAAAATCCAACCAGCAATAATAATTTGGCTAACCATTTTGACATTATCAATAATCGTTTTGTTGGTTATAATAATAATACTCTTCATAACACTGTTGACAATAATTTCTATGAACAGAATTCAGTCAATAATAATAACAATTTGAATGCACAAACTAATAATTATACAAGAGATCAGCTAATTTTTATAGCAATTCAGCTTCAGAGAATTGTGGATCAATTATTATTAAATAACAACAACAACAACTACTAGAACATCATCAATAGCAACATGAATGATCAATTATTATTTATTATTACATTCAATCATTATTATATAATTCATATTCAATTTATTTATTTTGTAATTCTGTTCTTTCCAAATAATAAACAAAACCCATTATGCTAAAAGGTCACAATTCCCAATATTTTATTTCTTTTTAAAAAAGTAAATAGTCTCTTGAGAATAAAGAATTTATTATGGATAAAATAACAAATCTATTGTTTTCAAGTAAAAACAACTATTCCCGACAATAAATTTTTAAATATTATTGGGGCCTCTTAAAAAATAGATAAAAATCTGATCAATGTAATACTTATTATGTCACGTATATAATTATAATTATCTATTATTTATAAAGGATTGGTTAACAATAGAATGATATGTTTTGTGTATTTTGTAACTTCGTTATTGTTGTTCGCCTTCATCTGGGAGAAGGAGGATAATAGTTATTTTTATTTATTTTGTGGATTTCCTTCACGATATAATTTTCGTAATTTCATTTTACGATTTAATGTACACATAATTTATATATTTTGGCATGTTATCATACAAAAATTATTGAACCAAAAAAAAACCAGATACAAACACAGTTTAGATTTTATTTATTTAATAAATAATTACTAAATATATAACTAATTTAAAATTCTTTTTTCCTTAAATGATATTAAATACTAGATTACTACTATTAGTTTTCTTCCGATGTAATTAAGCCTTTATTTACCAATAATTCTTCTGATTCACCTGACTGATGCATGCATATTCAACACGATGTCACGGGTGTTAAATATTTGAACTACAGTCCGCACTATATATATCCATCCGCTGATCACGCGTGTAACCCTTGAGCCATTCCAATTGGTCTAAACGTGGCACAGTTAGGATTATCTCGATGTCACAATATTTTTAAAAAAATTCTCAAGCGTTATCATGAAATATTTATTTGAGAAATTCATTTATAAAATAACATGGATCAAAGGAAAATAAAAAAAACAAATACCAGTCATCTCCGTCTATTCATCTGTTTTTTTTTTCCCTAAAAAATCGACTTTTATTTATAAATCATTTTCTGAAGAATCCCGTAAACAGTCATAATCTTATTTTACAATATTAGAATGATTTCTATTTTTATCACTTCAAATTTGAAATATCATACTTACTACGTATGTGACATTAACTAGCCAATCTCGCAATTGCATCTTCAAAAAAAATTGTTGTTAGCACCAATGATGCGGCGTAGTAACTTTATTTTACTTTTACAAATTCCAGTCTCCGATAATTTTCAAAAGAGCCAAAAATATAAAATATTCTTTATAGAGGCCGAATTAATTAAAATAATGAAACTAATTAAAAAAATCATCCGCATTTAATCTTTATCCGTATCCATTTACTCTTTTGTTCATTTCATTCTTCATTCATCAATCTCTTTCATAGATGGTTTGTTTTATACAAATTAGTATTAATTATTCAATATGTTTATTATTTAAATTTTAGTAAAGTTATTTATTATTATAAATAATTAATTAGTTAAGACCTATTTGATAATTACAATTGGTCAATAACAAACCATAAAAATTGTTCAATTTGTGTAATTAATGTATTGCATGGTATTTTTCGTGTTTTTCACAAATTATACAAAACTTGTACTTGATGTCACGACTACCGCATTCTGAACAAATTTTTTTTATTTTGATTGTAATATAACTCTCTTTTTTTTCTTTAATTATTACATATTCGGGGCTGTTGGCTTCTCCTCGAAGAATAAGATGACCATTTTCCATTTATTTTATATAATCCGCTTATATTATTGAATAAATAAAAAAAAATCTTCGGTTTTTTTATTTATTCGATTTGATAATTCGCGAAAGGGCTTTTCATTATATATTAGTTTCGTTACCCGATGATAAGAGGCTGGAACCGGCCAAAAAACCTTAATGGTTAAAAAACCTCAACCGACAAATTCTAGTTCTTTGTAATCCAAGCTATCTTAATCTCATGCGATTGCTGAAATAGCGACCTTGTTGAAATTTTATTTTGCCATGTTTTTAAAGATTAGAACAAAGAAACAAATAAAATAAATAAGAAAATGATAATTTTTTGTTAGGTGGTTGTCATTAAGGAATGTAATTTTGTTTATACTTGTGACGAAACTTTTTAACAGGTATGACTAGTATCAAAATTAGCCAATCAGACTGCTGATCTGTTAATTTTAAAACTAGTTATCCGACTGATACCTGGAGATCTATAAACTGAAGCTTTATCCTTGGAATGAAAGGGAGGTCTAATCGGCACTAGTTAAAAACCGACCCGTCATCTGACTTTAATTCAATTGTGGACCACTAAAACCAATAGTGTGGCAATATATTCTGATTCCCGCCTTCCATTTTAAATGCTGCCAAAGTAATTCACTAAAAAATGAAGTAATTCGGAAGTTAGCCATAGAATACTTTTTTGCATTTGGTAATTCGTTTACTTTGAAAACAATGGATTTAAATTAAATCATTTAACAACCGCCTAGGGACATAAAAAATAACACTAATAGAAACCCCGGTTCTGTTTAATACTCTGGTTAGCAAATTGTTTAAATTAAATTAACTCGCGATCTTTTTAAGAAGTAGCATTTTATATTAATAATTAGTAAAAATCATCCAGTTCGCTCCACACCATTATTGTAACATGACGTTTCCACTTGCAAAAATGTACGGAGATTATGGGTAAATAACTTAAATGTATGGTGCAAAAAGCGAAAAACTTCTTGACCGGTTTCAACTTTTTTTATTCCTTTTTATTAATTATTCTATGCTTTTGGTTTTATAATTATTGTTACTGCACACACACATATATTAGATCGTTATCCTGCTCTTCCGATTGATAAACGAACCAATCTAATTTTATTATGGAAAGTACATTCAAAAGAGCATCCAATTATCAGTAAATGGCATAGAATTTTTTGGTGTTGTTGAACAAACACAAATTGTTGGCATCCTGTAATAGCTAGAGATTATATACGCGTAAAAACTTGATTGTTTGGTTAAGCGTGGGAATAATTATTAATTTTTGAACTTAACATATGAAAACGTACACCAACTTTAGAAACTTTACAATTAATTGGTGCATCATAAAAGCTTTCGTTTGTTTTATTAATAACATATTGATAATGACATAAATCTACAGTTTTGTTTAACAAAAACCATAAATAAATATTATACTACTGAATAAAAATTTGATAAAGTGAGACAAGTAAAAAGCGACGCGTAAATTAGCAAATTGGCTTGGTCGTAAAAAAAATCTTATAGATAATCATGATCATCTATCTAAACTTCCGTATATTTCTGTTTAAATTATACTAATCTTAGAATTTTATTATAAATAAATATTTGTCCCGGTTGAATGTAAACAAACATTAATATTAAACAACAATTTCAGAAATGTCCCCCTGTATGAATGGTGCGAAATTAAGACAATATTTCTATGAGCAAATTATTAAAAATCCCTTAAAGAAAACCGTTATAATTTCAAATAAGGATTGCATAATAAAAGCTGTGTTGCTAAATCCTCGACTTTTCAAAAAAGTTTTTTCATTGGAAAGATAAAAATAATTCTTTATAGTTATTTTTGAAGAGAAGACTTCAATTGTGTGAAGTAATACTTATGAAATCCGATCTGTTATCTTTAAATGAGCTGGATTCATTTATTATTATCATTTTGGACAAATATATTAAGACTAAATAGAAAAACAATGAATGAAAACCTTATATTTTTTCGCTTTAATTATTATTATTATTATTTTTTTTTGTAGTCATGTTCGTGTGGCGAATATTAATAATAATAATTCAATAAGAATATAATTTTTTTCTGACAATTGTAAAATCATCGTAAATTCAATTGAATTACTCGGCAATTTTGGTTTTTTTTATGTACTAAATGCGGCTTTGCATATCTTGAAAACAGAATGCGATACAGTTAACTAGAGCTCTATATTAAGAAATTCAAATAATTAATGAATAATAATCATGATCATCTTGGTAACCAAATCAACCAAATTAACGGTTATGTTCATCCTTCTGATACTATTGCTCCTAACGAAAGCTTCGTTAACCCTATGAACATTTTCCAACCATGATTATTCTGTCAACATTAACAATATTGCTGGTTATAATTCAATCAATAATAATATAAACAACACTCGTCAAAATCATGATTTGGCTAGTCAATGATAGCTTTGTTGGTCATAATATTCTTCATGACGCTGTTGACAATAATTTCTTTGGACAGAATTCGGTCAATAATAATAATAACAATTTGGATGCGCGAACTAAGTGTTCAGCTAATTTTTATAATAATCCAGTTTCAAAACATTGTGAATCAATTATTATTAAATAACAACAGCAACAAATACTAGAACATCATCAATAGTGATATTAATGATCAATTATATTAATAAATTATTTAATTCAATTTATTTATTTTGTAATTCTGTTTCGATTTATTATACTAAAAGGTCACAATTTCTAATATTATAATAGTGTTGGTTTCCCAAACTATAGAGTCTCGCAACTATGCGAAAATCAAAAAGTTTTGCCATATATCGAAACTAGTTTGACTTTTGACTTTTGTTTTTGTTTTAGTTTTGACATATAACATTTAATTTTAGTTTTACCAACATTATTATTTCGAATAAGGATTACGCTGTAAAAATAAAGATTACATAACGAAAGCTGTATTGTTAGAATCCTTGACTTTTCAAAAAAAAAGTTTCTCCAATTAAAAAATAAACAATCTTTTGTAAGTTTTTAAAGTTATCTTTGAAGTTACACTTATGAAATCCGTCTTTAAATGAGCCGGATTTCATTTATATTTTGAATGGGAAAAAATTAATCATGACTAAATAAAAAAAACAATAAATGAAAATCTTGAAGGCTATATTTTTTCGTTTTGATAATGATAATAATAATAAATTTTTTATACTAACTCAACAAGGAATATTATTTACATTGTATTGATTGTCTTCTGAAAATAAAAAAATGGAAAAATGATAGTATTGTTACACACACACTTTGGGTTTGAAAAAAAAAATCAAAATAGTAATGTCGAGTTACACGATCCATATAATTTCTCATTCAGGCGTTTTTGAAAATAGTAATTCGGTAACTCTTCAATAAATTTTTGAATGAATTTCCAAATTTTTGTGGGCTTGGCGTACCATAACGAATTTTATGTGAAGCAAAAATGTTAAAAACTCGTTATACGAAATTAATGGTTCTGGTAAATAAAATTTTATTACGTGTCCCATGCATGGAATAAAAAACTCGATTTATAAATTATGTACGTAATAATAATATATTATCAAATGTTTTGTTTTGATATCGTATTTGATCGGCATAAATAACATAGTTTTTAAATGCAATTTGTGTTTGGAATATTCTATATAATTTCTGAGCCATAACAAAGGGTAAATAAAAAACCAAAATTAATTAAGGTTCAAAAAACCTGTTGAAAATTAATCTATAGTCTGATAGATAATCATAATTTCTTAATAGACGTTAATTATACATTAATTGTACAGTAACTATTGATTAAATTGAAGTAATTGGGATTATTTTTATGTGTACAAACTGTTGTTATAAATGTAGAGAAAAAAATCAGTGCAAAAAGAAATTCCAATAACCCAAATACTCGATTAATTAATAAAAACTAAAAACAAATCATGAATAATAATTATGCTCATCTTGGTAACCAAATTAACGGTTATGTGCATCTTTCTGATACTATTACTCCTAGCGAAAGCTCTGTTAATCCCATTTCCAACCATAATTATTCTGTCAACAACAATAACATTGCTGGTTATAATTCAATCAATAATATGAACAACACTCGTCAAAATCCCGCCAATCATAATTTGGCTAGTCATTTGGGTTTTATCAATAATAGTTTTGTTGATCATAATACTCTTCATAACACCGTTGACAATTCAATCAATAACATGAACAATGCTCACCAAAATTCAACCAGTAACAATATCGCCAGCCATGATTTGGTTAACCATTTGGGTATTATCAATAATCGTTTTGTTGGTCATAATATTATTCATAACGCTGTTGACAATAATTTCTTTGGGCAGAATTCAGTCAATAATGATAATAACAATTTAGACACGCAAACTAATAATTACACAAGAGATCAGCTAATTTTTATAGCAATCCAACTTCAAAACATTGTGGATCAATTGTTATTAAATAGCAACAGCAACAACTACTAGAACGACATCAATAATGATTATTTATTTATTTATTAATAATATATTTAGTTATTATATCATCCATATTTATCAAAATTATTTATTTTGTAATTCTGTTCTTTCAAAGTAATAAAAACTTATCATACTAAAAGTCCCAATTTCTAATGTTTTATTTTTTTTAAAAAAAATGAAAATAATTAACAAGACTGTTTTTTTTTTTTCAAACAAAATCATCTATTTCTGAGAATAAACCGGAATAGATAAAAAATTAAAAGATATCTGTTAATGTCCATATAATTACAAATTAAAATTAATTATTGAACATATTTATTAATTTATTCAAATTTAATAAATGATTTATTGTTATTATAGAATAATCTTTTTGTTTAATAATATAATAATAATAATCAATTGTTACGCTACTCGATATTGACCGCTTTTAATAATCTCTATATATTTATTTTCAAAAAGTTTGTTAAAAATAAATGGAAAAACTTAACTTTTACCCAAATTAGTAAATTGTGTTAAAAACAAATATTTCAAACCCGTTAATCCGAAAACATCGTTAAAATGAATTTTTTAAAAACACAAAGCCAAGTATATGCAAATTTGTGCAAATTAAACCGTTGTAGTAGTTTGTACCTTTTAACCCGTGGGCTTCGAATTTTTTTTTTAGAATTTATTCTATTTAAATACTCCAATAACCCGAGTTTTACCTTACCAATCAGATAGTGATGTTAGCTAGTTAAGGAATTTTTAAACGACTTAACTGGCTAAAAAAAATAATTTCTCTTGACATTCATTTTTACGTCTGGAATTTTAGTGCAGGAAGTGGCATAAACATTTAGTTGAGACGGGTCCACCTGCATTACTTAGAATGACAAAAAAAAACATATATTTGCTCAAAAAACAAAATACAATACATACACAGCGGTCCCGTTTACTTCGTCGAAAATTATTTCGTCGGCTTATGTATCGTACTAATGATAAATGAGGTAATGATAGTGATGGCAACAATATCGACATTGAATATTTTAGTATTGATAATAATTATTGTTTTTTAGTAGAGTGTGTG